ACGCATTCGCACTTAGGTTAGTTAGATTTCAGGAGTTATTATATAATTTTAAATATAATTGCCCGGTATATGGCAATAGGCTCACTCCCTATTACATGGGAATCATAACATAAATAGTGAAAAGTGGGTGTTACATTGTACAGTGGTGTAATGTGCACCTCTGCCTACCCTTTCGAGGATAAAAGGCGTGATGTTTTGTTATGTTTAGTTACCTCTATAATAACATAACATAACATAACATCATGCCTTTTTATCCCCGAAGGGGTAGGCAGAGGTGCACATTTCGGCACTTAATGCCACTGTACAATGTAACACCCACTTTTCACTATTTATGTTATGAGTCCCATGTAATAGGGGGTGAGCCTATTGCCATATACCGGGCACAGTTCCAGACTCCGTGCTACTACTGAGATTTTAAAAAACCCAGTAATACTTTGCCCGACCCGGGAATCGAACCCGGGACCCCTTACCCGGCAGTCGCAATTGCGACCACTCGGCCAACGAGGCATAATAATTAATTAATTATAATAAAAAAAATTAATATAATAAATTTAGTAAAATGATCATAGTTTCCATTTGCACCCTCCGTCGGTGGCAGAAACCTAACTAGACAAATAACAATAAAACCGAGACCATGAAACATTAATTTCTTAAGTTGAAGCCATCAAACATCATCCACAATTAAGTGGTGTCATTAAGATTAAGTTTTGTCATTAATCCTACAGCTCTTTAACTAAATGGGATCCCGAATGATCTGAAGAGATCTCTGCACTTGGATCACTTGGATCTTAAGGTATGGAGCTTTGCAAATCGTGTTTGTGAGGTTTTAAAGACTAATATTATTTTAAGATACTTCCAAAAATATATTTAAACATACCAACACAACATAACGGCACGCCTTTTATCCCCGAATGGGTTAGCAGAGGTGCACAATGTAGTACTTCATGCCACACTTTTCACTATTTATGTTATGAGTCCCATGTAATAGGGGGTGAGCCTATTGCCATATACCGGGCACAATTCCAGACTCCGTGCTGCTAATGAATATAAATTTTGAGCAATATCTTTTTGATTATGGTATAGTTTTCATTTAATATTTTACTTCTCTTAGATTAAAGTTTATTAAAACTTAATTAAAAAGAAAGATATTATTACTTATTTTCCAGACACAAGAAATAAATAAAATTAAATCTAAATCTCGAAGTAAATAAGTAGAATTCATTAGTTTTCAGTGTCGCGCGTCTTAATGCTTCGTGTCAACGACTGGAAAATTAATCGTTTTTTTTTATTCAATAAACTTCAATAGATTTTATTGGTTTTCTTTTTTTTTCTAGAAAATGCTTGATCACTTGAGTGGTTTATAGATGAATTATTAAAAAAAGGTATATATATATTTCGCCTATTCCACGTGTAGGTAACCGTATTTTTACGAGTTAAATACCGGTACGGATCATCTGATGGTAAGCAATTGGCGCCGCTCATGGATACCTGAAGCATTAGGCCACTTAGAGGCGCTACAAGTGCGTTGCCGGCATTTTAGGGATTAGGAATTTGATGATTGTTGGTAGTTCGGAGATTGGGGAGGGGGGAGAGTAAAAGGGTCTTTAGTAACCTCATTCAAAATACAACGCTAACGTTATTTCACGTGTCGCGGAGAACCTTTACGCTTTTCGCTTTTCGCGGGTTGCCAGGGCTCCGGCTCGAAGTGCAGGAGAAGGAACGGGGTGGTTTTTAGTCAGTAAGAGTCTGACACTCCGTCTCGCCTCACCCAGGCGGGAGCAGTAATTGGATGATGTTCCCTACTTAAAAAAAAACGTTGTGTCACGTCGGTTTTCTTTGAGGCCGGCCTATTCGTGTCGAAACATAGCTCTCCCACACTTAAAATCGTATATATAGGGAAAATAACATAAAAAGCTAAAACATGGTAGTTTTTACTTAACCACTTTGGGAAATTATACAAACCTTCTTATATCATTAAAATGCAGTGTTACAATATTTCTTTTGTATTTATAAAGAAGGAAGGAGAACAGACAATCCGAAGTTAATTAATTAATCCTCGTTTTGTTTTTCCTTATCTTAATTTTTAATGAGTTTCCACGTAAAGATAGCCAACGCAATTACATTATTTTAAAGTCAATGTAGTTAATATTAGATTAAATTAATTTGGATTATGGAAAAACAGTGGCGTTCTTCCTTATGGCCGTCTTTTGGGTCATTGAGCCAACAGAGTGAACAAGTTATATAAGAAAAGAAAATGCTTTTCAAACTCAAAACTCATGATTGGTTGATTGCAACAGCCACCCAGGCGGGAGCAGTCATTCGACGATTTTCTACAGTTAAAAAAATGCGTAATAAAACTATGTATGCAATCTGAAAATTATTGTTTTGGAATTTGAAGATTGTCAGGGATTTGGGGATTGGGAAGATCGAGAAGGGAGGAGGGTAATGGGACCACAGTTAACCTCACTCACACAACGAAACACAACGCATGTAGTTTCACATCAGTTTTCTGCTCGGCCGTGGTATCACTCCGGTCGAGCCAGCCTATTCGTGACGAAGCATGGCTCTCCCACACGTATTCTAAATATCACAACACAAATGTGGTTTTGGGTGAATAAACATATATTATACTGATTCTTTCAGCCCACGTACGGTTAACGGTACGAACATTTTAATAGCCACATTTAGAACCATTTGTTATCAAATTCTCAGTAATCGTATCAGAATTTTTTTTGATGTCAGTCCACGACGACATTATTATTAAATTATGTATTATTTTTACGTAAGGTTATGAAGATGAGATATTAGGGGATTTTTTTTTTTGATTTCTAGAAATACGTTTTGTGCGTGAGCGGTAGTATTAATGGAGTAAGGCTTTATTTATTAATAAAGTAGCCTTAAATAGTGAATTCCACTCCAGAAATGAGCCTGTAATATAGTTCGTCTGCTCGATACTGCCATTATCATTATAGGGAAGTTAATTATATATAGATAGTAAAGTTAATTATTATGTTTCCAGCTTATTCACGTAACAGTTTTACATGGAACTCGACTAGTTTCAAACCAGGTTCATATTGGTATATTATAAGAAAGGCAATATAAGTATATTATAATAAATATTAGTAGTATTGAATCCGGACCTGGACTTAGTGCATAGCATATCAGGTAGCGTTCCACGACCCACGACGCGGCGACTGTCGAGCAGCGCAATAGTCGTAGTCAGAAACATAAGAAAAAATAAAGAAAGTATAGGTCTCTAAGAAAGGGAGGATTCTCTGACCAGGCGAAGTGATCGTGGCTGGCGGGTTACTGCCCAACAGTTGTTCGGTGGGATATTCTATTCAGGCTTAATACGGCGCACAGTTGCGCGATGTAGGATCTTATGTCATTCCCTATCATTTGTCGTTACAACTTCAATGTGCGTCGCCACAATCGTTATCAACAACCCATGTACTGATGTATAATGATCCCCTCTATATAACAAGGTAAACCATAATCTTCATTCTTGGCACTTGCCATACACTTGGCACTATGGAGTAGAGATCGCAGTTAAAATCCTATTTATCAATGAGCACTCGCATCATTATATGTAAAGTTTTTTTTTAATAAAACAATTCCTCACACTAAAATTTTCATCTGTGTCGTGGGTGCAAAAGTACAAACATGCAAGTTTACATACACATGACACCCAGATTCGGAACAACAATCTGTGAGTCACACAAAGAGTTGTTCCGTGCGGGAATAGACCCCGCGACGCGTTGCGCGATAGCCAGTTGCCCAGCCACCGTGCCAACAGCGTAGAGTGCCAAAGTTCCTTGATAGATATTGTTTTCAATCAGAATTCTTAATAAAAATTGGAAGTACTTGTACGTAAATATAGTATTTATCAAACGATAATCTTCAAAACACGAATCTTAACATATAACTAAGAAAAATTTTATAACGTGTTACTAAGAAAGTATTTGATCCATCCAAATATTAACACACACCACAAAAATCCGTTAAAGTACCTGGTACATTATTATTATTATACTACATACTACCCCCATATAAACGGCATTAACCCTTCTCCAGGCAAAAAGATTAATGTGTCCACACGCAATATAGAAACAAATAAATCTTTCGGCTATATTACACGGAAGGAATGTTGCCTTTAGAAATGAGGTGGGTTGAACTGAAATAAATAATAACAGTTTTTCATGCTTTGTATGCCCTTTAATTTTTTTATTTCCCTTATATTGTCATGTTATCCTTCTAATATTAAATAACATTATATAACGTCACGCCTTTTATCCCCGAAGGGATAGGCAGAGGGCTCCTCCCCCGTAGATGATAGCGTGATAATATGTAGCCTATATGTTGACCCGACTTGTTAGTAATATTTATGCAAAATTTGAATTAAAGAAGAGTGCAAATACAGACAAACAGATAAACAGACCAAAATTTTAAAAACCATATTTTTGGCTTCGGTATCGATTGTAGATCATGCTTGATCAACAAAGTGCTTATTGTCACATCACTTAGATTTGATGGTGGTGATGATAACCACGGCTATGACATGAAGCATTTTTATTGGAGGGTGCAAACGATTAGACTTTTCATCAAAGTCAAAATCAAAGCATTTATTTCAATTAATCCTTTGAGTACTATCATTATAGACACAATTAACGAACAATAGGTTGCAGTCACCGGAGTCCTCGCGGTGTTTGACAGTTTAAACCATAATTTGGTACTTTCGAAACGCCAACAAATACAAAATAAATAATAGTCTGTCAGTTAGTCCGTCTGTAAAGCTAGGTGAAGCGAGGTGCTCATTCCAAAATGTAGATTCGAATGGAGAAGAGCGAGTAAGAAACTCCAATCGTTACTTTTTAAAAAAAAAACATCTGATGGTATAAACAATCTACGTCGTCCATGAACACAATAACGTTAAGTAATCACAAGCTATAGTGTTAAATTACTATTTTATTATATTACTATTAAAAAATAATCTATATTACCTGAGGTAAACTACACGCGAGTGCGAATGCCCAGGCGCAGAGCAGCATCTGTTTACTGCGCCTGCGTGCCACTGGCAGCCGAAGCGGGTATATGACGGCGAAGAACCTGTGAAAATACAATACGATATAACTAAAACCAATTTACGCGTCGTATCATTATTTGCAACACACAAATATAGAATCATATTATGTATGTTTTCGTTTTACATATTCTAAGCTTCAGAAACATGTCTAAAAATAATGGGTTCATATATTAATAGTTCCTCCTACACATTACATGTATATACTGAAGCAGTCGATATAATCTTGAACAATGGAGAAGCTACTTAAATAACCAATACAAAAATGTATATAAATACAAATACATTATGTATCGATATAAACCTGAGCCACTTGGGTTTCAGCAAATAATGAAAGGAAAATTTTCTCAAACATGAATGGCCTACGTGCCCAAACCACGTATAAATTATACGTATTTTTAGCCCGTAGCGATCTGCTACGACCGCGTAGCACGCGTAGGCCTGGCGTAGGCACGGCGTAGCATTTTGCTTACAGACTTAAATATGTATCTAACGTAGGTAGTACAATTGTTGACCTTATCTACCTTAGTGATAAGGTGTAAAATGCCACATCAACATAAGAATTGTCTTTTAAAAATTGATCAAAATGTTTGGAGTCTACATTTTTGGTGATAAAAACTCTTTTATGTTAGATCGTTACAGTGTTTGTTTTTCCATCAAACACTTTGTAGAACATGATTTTAAAGGTAACTTTGTAGGCCTTTTGCTTTAATAAAGTTGAATTATGTACGGGTTGTTAATTTTTGGGAGCGAGCCTTTTACAATAGAGTTTGAGAGTGAACTTTATAGTTAAAATGTTAGGTCTTGAGTAGATGGGTTTGGCAAATAGATATAAAGGTGAAGGGCATTGCTGTTAAGAATACTTTTATGAAGTACTAACTTCTGTTTTATTGGCAACTAGTTCAAGTTTACCTTCTATGAAGATTGAGTTAGATGAAATGTATTTAACTTTGTAAAAAAAAAACATGGCTTTTGCGAAATTTTACTAAAGTTGGTAGTTTCTGATGATTGCATCACTATTTTACAATTTCTTGATGAAGCGAAGGAGGTATAAACAATCAATCGTCATGACTTTAGTTGTAAAAATATAGTTTAGTTGAAGTTAATATACAAGTACTGAATCAATTTTGAAATAAGTTTTTAAATTTAAGTTAAATTCAAGTTCTATAAAGATTATATTTTTGGGTACTATCTAAGAGATAGGATAAAAAATATAATTATTATACCTCAGATTATTACTTAGTAAAACTTATTATCCACGATGTGATGCATAACGTAATATGTCGAATGAATGCAATTATTCCGTTTGTTCAATACAATAAAATATTAAAAAAGAATTACACTTTCATTAATTCGTTTTATGACCAACTTAATGACTAGGTTAATTTATTTAGGCATCATGTAAAATAGTTTAATTTTTATTTCAATGTCTGTCTGGTAGATTATTTTAAATCATTAGACACGTATTTTTATTTTCTTACAGAAACGGATAGGTACTTTCGACGATATATTGATTTGAAATGTCGTGTGACGTCAATTCTATGTACATTTTATACGTAGAAATGACGTTTTAACCCCCACTCCTAAACTTTGATTCGTTTTATCTAAGTTTTGTTTTATTATACGACAAAATAAAAAAATAAAAAATACGTGTCTAATATTTTTTCATTACCTAACTTACGAAATAATTAGATTTTTAATGTTCATACCCTGTCATCATCCCAATTGACAAAAGCGTGCACGTGGTGCAGTTTACTTGGACGCCTAACGTGCTGAAAAATCATATCTCAATTCTTATTGCGGATAAAAGCCCAAGAAAACGGCAGGTTAGATCCTGACTCATATAACATAACATAATATCACGCCATTTATCCCCGAAGGGGTAGGCAGAGGTGCACATTACGACACCTAATGCCACTGTACAATGTAACACCCACTTTTCATTATTTATGTTATGAGAGCCTATTGCCAGATATCGGCCACAATTCCAGACTCCGTGCTACTACTGAGATTTTTTTTAAAAACCCTCTAATTTTTGCCAGACCCGGGAATCGAACCCGACGCCCTTTGCCTGGCAGTCCCACTTGCAAACAGGAACAACGCAGACGAGGCAGGCCGACTCAATAATAAGGTTTCTACAATACATTGCACAATACAAGGCTACATAAAATGCTATTAAACCTTCATAATAGGACCTACAATAGACATCCTAGTCTCCTTTCATAAGCACTAAGAACTGGTTTATGATTGGCTGGAGCCCCCACAATAGAGCTTTGGACCTTACAGCATTGTTGATAGAATAAAATATAGTTTAATCTTCACTACGTAATAAAAGTCTATCCTATGAAACGTAAGTACGTTAGGATAGATGGTCTGTTTCAGCAAAATTTGTTGAAATCTCTCGTTTAGTCTTGGTTTTGTAAAGGATTACTGATTTACTTCTCAGGTCAAAAAATAAGTAATGTTAAACGATATTTAGTCTAGTTTTTTTCGCATGTAACATTCATTTATTTAAAGGGAAGACACCAACATCCTTACTAGTCCTTACTATCCTTACTAATACTATAAATCAGAAAGTGAGTTTGTTTGTTTGTTCCACTTTCACGCCGTAACTATTTAACCGATTGCTTTGAATTTTTGCAGAAGTAAAGTTAGAAGTCCGGATTAAATAATAGGGTACTTTTTATCCCGGAAAATTGATATTCCCGAAGGAAAAAAGTATTGGTATAGATGGCGCTGTGTGTATTGTTATATGTCACATATACTACTTTTTATCCTTTTGTGACGCGAGCGAAGCCGCGGGTAAAAGTCAAAAAGTCAAAAGTCAAAATCATTTCTTTCAATTAGACCAGAAAGGCACTTTTGAACGTCAACAATAAAATTAGAAGTGAAGCTATTTGCTCATTCCAAAGTGTAGATTCCTATGGAGAAGAACGAGCAAGAAACTCCATAGGTTACTCTTTTTCAATCAGGTTCACAATACAATTGTCCAGTTACATAGTTTGCTGTTTGGATTGTGCGAGAACAATGTAACACTAAAATCTAGTCAAAGTGATTGAAAAAGAAAATAACCTTAAAGACAATAAATAATACAGTCTGGAGCTGACCAGTCCCAGTTGACGGCGCCCGTTCACGAACATGACACGTACACCAGCACCGCCCAAATCAACCATATTGTAGGGAATCGAGCGATCCACTGCACGCGCCACCGCCAATGAGACCTTTGAGTGAGCATGACAACTCCACGCTGACACAAATGCATTCTACTAGTCTAATTTAATATTAAGTTAATTACAGGGCTCTCACATTCACAATGGTTATCTAAGTTAAACAATATACAATTTAGCAAAATGGCTGTATTATTTACAATTTCATTAAAACATCAGTGTTTTTTGTTATCCTGTGGAGCCGGACTAGCCTGTATCCAAGCATTTTTATCAACTATATAATCATTAAGTTTGTAATACGCTTGTTTACATAAAGTTTTCTTTATACATAATTTAAATTTTGATTCATTTAGGTGTTGTATGTCGCCTGGTATCTTATTATAACATTTAACACAGAATCCCATGAACGACTTACTTACTTTCGCCAATCTCGAAATTGGCTGACTTAATCTATTTCCATGTCTAGTTTGATAGTGGTGTCTGGCCGACACTTTACCAAATAACTGTAGGTTTTTCCTAACATACATGATGTTTTCATAAATAAATTGACATGGAACGGTCATAATGTTGATCTCCTTAAACCTTTCTCTGAGAGATTCGCGACGACCTAGATTGTAGATAGCTCTGACGGCGCGCTTTTGCAATACAAAGATAGACTCAATGTCAGCAGCGTGTCCCCACAGCAAAATGCCATACGACATAATGCTATGAAAGTAACCGAAATACACTAGTCTTGCCGTTTCTATGTCAGTTAACTGTCGTATCTTCCAGACAGCATACGCTGCAGAGCTCAATCGTCCCGCTAATGATGTAATATGAGGACCCCATTGCAATTTGTCGTCTACAGTAATTCCCAGGAAAGTTGTCTCTTTTACAAACTCTAATTTCTCACCATTCAATAATATTATGTCACATTCGTTGCTTTTAACATTTGGCAAAACAAATCTAATACATTTTGTCTTTTTATTGTTTAGTACTAGGTTATTTAATGTAAACCAATTTTGAACTTTAATTAGGGCATTATTTACATCGTCATAAAGTATATCGGTAAAAGCTAGTAAGTACATATATGTATATCATAATTAATTTCTTCTCAGAGGAATCAGTTAAGAAATGCCGGTCCTAATCTTGTAATCTAAAGATTGGCCGTGTGAAAGTGTTACTTTGTAAAATATTTGCAGAAATAACAATGGCAATGCTGCCAGTCTTTTGGGCACCATACCTCACGATAGCGATAAGGAAAATTTTTTTTTGATGCCTTATGATTTAAGGTGTAAATATTTTATTTCGTCGTTATTTATATTTTAACTTGTATATATTTTCATTTAGTAATAGTTAATATTAATTTTATTTATGTCCATTACTATCTTAAATAAATATGTTATGGTATCAGGGTGGAAAAAATAATAATATAACATAACATTATACCACTGCACAATGTAACACCCACTTTTCACTATTTATGTTATGAGTCCCATGTAATAGGGGGTGAGCCTATTGCCATATACTGGGCACAGTTCCAGACTCCATGCTACTACTGAGATTTTTTTTAAAAATCCGGTAATACTTTGCCCGACCCGGGAATCGAACCCGAGACCCCTTGCTCGGCAGTCGCAATTGCAACCACTCGGCCAACGAGGCGGTATAGAAAAAAAATAACTATGTATAATTTATCATTTTCATCAAAAATAGTGCTGTATTTGAACTACTATATATACGAAAACACAATACCACTAGAACTGAACCCTTACAAAGCACTCGAATGCAACTAGGGGTAAAGAGTCCTAATACCTACATGTCCCCAATCCGTGCCCAAAGTAGCAGATGACGAGTAATTACACCTACTCCTCTCCTCTGAA